TATGAGGTAACCACGTTATTTGTACAAACCGTACAAACCTCATTTAACCAATCATAATTTTTCATTTTGTTCATTTTTTTGTAATTATGATAGATTGATTAGTCATTTTTATTGTGGAGGGTGTTAATCATGAATATTATCATTTTCATTATTTTAATTTTAGAGAAATACATGGAACATTTTAATTAAGTATTATATGAAACAATTTCAGAAGATCAATACAATTTCATGAAATTTTTTTATAAGATTAAACAAAGAAATCGACGGACGAGGTGGTTTGTTCGGTTTGTACAAATTAGGTGGTTTGCATTTGATCGCGCATCTCTCTCTCTCTTTCTCTATATATATATATACACACACCTTTTTTCATATGAGTATTTTTGGTACTATTTGGGCTCATTCCAATTAATCGGCCTAAAAAATGTTAACCTATTCAAATATGTTATGTATACCTAACTAAACCAGACCGTTATCGGATTAGATTAGACTGAAATAGTTGCGTTAGACATATTTTATTTTAAATTGTTAAATCTAAATCTTAAAAAATCAGTTCTTATTGGTCACTATGATCCAGATACCAATTAAATCAACGACCATTTAGAAAAAAAAATGAATTTAATTTTGTCTTCAACTTGAATTTATTTATGAAAAGCAGTTTGTACCGAACGATGATATTTAAATGTAAACATATTTATTCATAAGTTAATGAATTTTTTGGTAGCATTAGAATACTTAATCCAAAACATATATATAAAGAAAGAAAATGCTACTTTTTAAATGTATACGATACTGACCCATGAATTAAAAACATGACATCTGTACTAAAAAACTAATTTCACAGTACACAGGAGTTCATGTCTGGTTATCATATATTAATTTTGGTCGACTTAAACAAATTGAGGTCCGACCTTTTGTACACCCTGACATCCAAGGGCATCGTTTGCCCTCCCCACCCCTCGCTGCTCCATTGTCGTCCATCTCCACATTGCCTGTCGTCGTTGTTACCCCCTTCCATCAATCTCCTTTTTGATATATTTTTTTTTTGTCTTTCTACTCTCCCTTTTTTATAAGAATTCAATGGAGTACGTATAGACAGATAAAAAAAGAAATCAAAAAGAGGAGATCAATGACAGGGGGTATCGGAGGTGATGGGTTGTGGCAGAGAGAGGACGATGATGGGGCAGCGATGTGTGGTGAGGGGGAGTGATGATGTTGGGTGTAAGGGGTGTCGATGACATGGAGTTTACGGTAAAACTGATAGGTTATCAATTTCTAAAAGTTTAGTAATTTATTTTTTAAAAAAATGTTCATAGACTTTTTAATAATTTATTATTTAAAAAAAATCAAAAACTTAAGGCAAATAGATTTTTTTAAAAGCATCCACAACAGGTTTCTTTTGAAATTCCTCTTGGGAATTTTACAAGAACCTTCGTTGTGGGACATTGGTTCTTGTCTAGTCACAAATTTTTATTAGAACCTGAGTACTTGAACAAAACTATATATATATATATATATATATATATATATATATATTCATTTTTTGCTATTATTTTTATCATTCTTTAACCATTTTATTTATTTTAAATAAATCTATAAAACATACAAGTTAAAACTGACACAAAAAAAAAATCGATTATTACAAAATAATTTTTTTTTGTTTCTTATAAATTTTTATACAACAAATTTTGTATAAAATTCATAAATTTATTTTTCGTTTGTTATAAATCAATAAGTTAAATTTTTAATTATCTCATTATATTATCAATAAAATTTACCAACTCCGCACTGACTTGATTGAACATATTTGGTCGAATTAATATTACGAATGATCTACATTACTATTTATTACTTTTATAAAGAATACCCAAATTAAAGATGGTGCAATTAGGGGGCCCCACTCTCATCAATAATTCAATTTTTAAATTAAGATATTGGGATTAAAATACGTTAACCCATCACTTTGTTCAAATTATTTCAAGATATTTTGATTAAAAAATCGTTGATAAAATCCATTTTGTTTCTAGAAGTATTTTTGGGTCGGAAAGGTTTAATATGTCATAAAGATTATATTTTCTTAAAATCTGGTATAAGATGTTTAATTAAATTTATAACCTGATAAGAATATATACTGATGTTTAATTAAATTCATAACCTGATAAGAATATATACTGATGTTTTATCCAATTAAGTCATTTTCAACAAAATTAGCTGATAAATTAATAATGTTTGGTAAAAACGAAAGAGAAAATTGCACCAAAATGAAACCAATTTTTACCTGATTTCTATTTTGTGGAATCAACTTTCAACCAACTTGCACTTGGTTCCTATTTTGGGGAACCAACTTGCAAAATAATTATAGAAAAATAACTTAAATTCGTTTTTTTTTTTTCAAAAATTAATGCAATATAATCTATTTTTTTATTTCAAATCTCGTTTTTAATGCAGATATCAAATTGAAGATTTTTTCAAAAAAAATCCAAATTACCATAATAAAAATTGTTTTTTACTAATAGAATAAAAAATCAATTTAATAGAAAAAAAATTAATTGATGCAATAAAAAATAAATATTAAATATCACATTCAAGATTTTTATATCTAACCAATCCGTATCAATATTAAAGTTTAAATCAAATTTGGCAAATCAAACCAAAAGTTTGATAAAGACCTTTAAATTACCTGTTACTTGCTCAACAGATCAACCAGACCCTTAAATAAACAAAAAGTTTGATAGAGATCCTTAAATAACGAATTTGAAAGTTGGTTCCCCAAAATAGGAATCAGGTAAAAGTTGATTTCATTTTGATACAATTTTTCTAAAACGAAATGATAATAAAATGTCATGTTAAAAAATTATTTCAAAACAATATAAAGGGTTATAATTGCAAGGGGTAAACTTATTGAAAACTCTACTTTGAAGTAGCTTTTTAAAAGCTAATCAATAACTAGTTTTTCAATAAAGTCAAAATAGTTATCGACCAATTTACTTAAATGCTTACCCGATAAACGTTTAATGTTATGAGTCAACAATATAATTTACTTTACCGGGTAAGATTGTAGTACATTAAACTGGTACCGTATGCAACAATCTACTCAGACCGCTCTAAATCCATGATAAAAAAGGCAAGCAAAGACGATGGCAGCAAAAAATCAATAATTTGATAATAAGCAAGTAGCTTGATGATTAACAACTTCAAACTAACTACTCTAACTCTAAATCTAAAACTAGGTTACAAAGTCATGAACAAGTCGCTTGGTTCTTCATCAATCTGCTCGATCTCCTAATTGGTGTCACCATCACTTCATCTCCCTACACAACACCAAACCAACATTATCAAGAATACCGAATTAAACACAACAGAATTAGACAGATTGTGAAATGGTTGATTAATACTCACATTCTTAATGGGAATTCTTTCGAATGTAGTGAAGCTTCCATAAGAAGGAGAACCCGTCGACGTCGAGTAATCTGTTGAAGAAGACGCCAGCGACTCTCTTTTATTGCTGCTAGTTTTCATCTTCTTGTAACCCTTCTGGAAGCTGTTTGTTTCTGAAGAACAAGATTCTCTGCGCATATCGGCATCACGAATGGTGGTGGTTGTTGTAGCGTTAGATTTCGTTCTAATGGTGTAAAAGATGGAGGAAACAGCCAGGATCACCATGGAAAAACCAGCTAAACAGATGGTGTTAATCGATACGGTTGAAAAAGAGGTCAAAGTTTCTGAGTCGGCAACAGAATCTGCCAAACTAGAATCGATTTCTAGATCATTGACCACCATTTCTGATTTAGTTTCAGGTATGGCTTCAGAATTGGTTACAGGAATTGAAGCTATTTCGCTTGACCCATCTTCAAGATTCAAACTTTTCTCCACCGAATCATCAGCATCAGCATCAGCATGTTGAATCTGTTCATGGGGTTGAAATTGAATCTCATTCTGTTCTTCGATCACAACTTCTTCTGGTACATCAATGTCATCATCGACTTCCATCTCTTCATAAACTTCTTCATCAACCATCTCTATTTCATCCTCCATTTCTTCATCAAATTCTTGAATTTCTTCCTCAAATTCTTGAATTTCTTCTGATATTTTAGCATCTATGTAATCTGTTCCAATGTGCCTATTGAACATAATTTCTTCTTGCAGGGGAGAAATGGTCAAGTTAAAGAACTGTATGGAGGTAATCTTGTGGGCTGAACTAAAATGGGATTTCAACTGGGAGAGGTAAGAACTGAAATTGATTGACCACTGCTTAACATTTTCAACAAGATCATCCAAAGAGTCTTTTGCAGTTGCAGCAAACTTCAAGGATTCTTGATAAATCTCTTGGAAGCTAAAGTCATTATATATTGGCAAATCCATGGGTGGAGAATCAGTAAAAGAAAACCCAAAACAGGCTATTAAGAACATCAGGGAAAGCAAACAGATAGTCTTAGATCGCTTGACAACTCGAGGTTTCGATGCCTTTTCGACCATGAAATCAGATTGTTTTTCTTCTGAAACCATTTCAGACAAATCCTCTGATGACCCAAGAACTGAATCTCCTAATTCTACTTCTTTTTCTACTTCTTGCTCTTCTTCGGCATCTGATGAGTTCTCGGACAGATTAAAGCTGTCTTCGAGTTTAGTAATATCATCTTCTCCATAATCATCGTTTCCATCTGATTTATTTAGTAAGATTTCGATTCGTGGGTTTGGTTTGTAACGAAGAAACTGAGGTCTAGGCGAAAGAAAATTCTTTTTGGGATCGTATGGAGGAAGAGAGGGGTGATCAAGAGAGGCGATGATCGGTGAAGTTTGTGGAGAACAACAAAAAGGCCGAGTCTTGGGGCATGAATCAACAACGTTAATGAAATCGGAATTCTCAGTAACCTCAGATAACATTTCTGTTGCATCATTAATCGAACTAGAATTTACCTGAAGAACAGGAGGAGTTTCAAGAACAACTTCTTTTTGTTCAAGAGTTAACGAATCCAGTGAATCCTCCTCAATCTTGGTGGTGTGATCCAATGGCGTTTCTTCAGATTTCAAACTCAAATCTTTGTCCAAGAACTGGATGGAAGTTCTGATGACATCGTTCTTCTCGCCCAAAACTTTCTTTCTTGGCGACGGAGTGAACTTGGAAGCAGCTGAGATCGTTGGGGCCATGAAATTCTTTGAACCACCCTTCGCAGGTGATCGGATGGTATCTTTGTGGTTCTCTTTTCCATCCTGAAACATCGAATTGCCGACGCTTTTGCGGCCGATCGAATGTCTTTTCACATGATCTAGTAACAGAAAACAAAAAAAGAATCAAAACCCACTTCACGAAACAAACAAAAACTCAAAAGAATCGAAACCCACTTCATACAACAAACAAAAACTCCAACTCCCGAATCGAAGATGAGGCGTACCTATTGTAGCAGGGCTGTTTGCAGGGGTAGGTGGATTCAAACTTCTAGGGTTTGTGAGCGCAGTGGGTCTGGCAAAAGGATTGCCATTGAAACTCCTTCTGGTTGTGGAATTCACCTCGGAATTTCTACAGTTTCTTGTTGAAAGTGGGGAAGGTGATCTGCTGGATGCAATATTCGCCATTAAAGTACGTAGATCTTGTTCAATTGGGGAGAAAGAAAGATGAAGAGAGGAATCTTGATTTTGTGAATAAAATCGAATTGTTTGGTAACGTAAACAGAGGAGGGGGGTTTGCAGAACTTTAAATGGGTGATATTGGAATTTGACCGTTAGGGTTTTAAAAGGATTAATTTATTGAATAAAGGATGTAGCCGTTGGGTTTTACCTTTTCTCTTGTTTCTGTTTTACAATTCAATTTATTGCCCAAGTTATTTTATTTTGTTTTAAAAATAGTAAATAATCTGATTTTTAGTTAAAGAAAAATATGGACTTTAGTGTTTAGAACGATTAAGTCTTTGAATAATTTTTTGGAACAAATAAATTCTTGAACATTTCAAAACATGTTAAATAACTACTTGGACTTTCTAAAACCTGTTAAATACATCATTATGACCTATACAACTGGTTAATGTGGTAAAATAATGGAAAAAGTCCGAAAAAAACCCAATTAACATTAATATTTTGAACGATTAAGTCCCTAAACATTTTTTGAACCAAAATATATTTAGATCTATAAAATCAAACAGATATAACAAAAAAGTACTTACATTTACAAAAATAAAATATATCATGTATGTGATTTTTTAAATTAAAAAAGATATTTAAAAAGATTACTGATAAAATTTATTTCAATTAAAAATAAAATATATTTTTATTTTTAATTAAAATAAATTTCATCAGTAATCATTTTAATTTTTTTTAATTTTTTAAATTTAAAAAATCATATACCGAATATATTTTATTTTTAATTAAAAAAATTTAATCAGTATATTTTTTTTAAATTCTTTTTTATTTTCTTTAATTTGAAAAATCAATGACATAATATATTTTAATTTTAATTAAAATAAATTTTATCAAAAATCTTTTTTAAAAATATAATTATTTTTTTTGTAAATGTAAGTACTTTTTTGTTATATCTGTTTGATTTTATAGATCTAAATATTTTTTTGCTCAAAAATGTTTACACTTTATTGTTCAAAATATTAATGTTCATTGGTTTTTTTTCCTTGTTTTTTCCATTATTCTACTACGTTAATTAGTTTTATAGGTTATAAGGATGTATATAACAGGTTTTAAAAAGTCCAAGTAATTGTTTAACAGGTTTTGGAATGTCCAAAGACTTATTTGTTCCAAAAAATTGTCCAATGATTTAATCATTCAAAACACTAAAATCCAATTGGTTTTTTTTAGACTTTTTCCTTTAATTAATTACGTTAGTTTTATAAGTATTTGTTTGACTTTTTCAAATTAAAGTTTGTATTTTGTATTTTTTTTAAAACGTTACTATGAACATTTATTTTAATTATTAAATTTTAATCATCGTTTCTTTGTATATTTGTGTAAATATAGAGAAGATGGCGATATAAATCAAAGAACAAGTTAAACAGCAGCAAAAGTGTAAACAGAAGCTCTCGCGACTTTTTCTGCGATCTAAGTTGACCGAAAAGCCATGCACACCACTGGAGGAAGAAACAGTGGTTCCTGCGGGTGACCACATGCGGGTGACCATGTGGCAAAACCTGCGGCTAAACTCCCATAACTCACTGTTCGATTGACAATTCCTACAGCTTCCCACGCGACTAAAACCGCACGACTAGTCGCCCACGTTTTCTAGGCTGATCCGGTTTCCTTTTCAGCATCAATATTTCCTATCAATTTATTTCCTTAGTAGTTATCTTAATTATGTTATTAGTTTCATAATTAGTTTATGATTAAAATATTTTTCATAGTTATCTTTTTAGCCTAGACTATAAATAGGTTCTATTGTTTTCAATAGTAATCAAATTATTCATATCAATAAAGTTTTTCTGTTTGAGAGTATTTTTTAAGTTATAATGTTCGTAATTCTCAATCGTCATTGGATTTAGACACTTGTCGGTTGGTATCAGAACAAAATCCGCATGTCCTTTTCACTAACCATGACTCAAACAACCGTTTACTAAAACATATATACCTGAGATGACTACGACCATTACCGTAGCCAAGGTTTAAAATAGCGTGAGGATGTGATGGTTTTTAAGACGTGACATAAGGCGGTAAATTTGTATGTCATATATATAATTATATATTTACATATATGTTTTCTAGAAGAGGTTCATTTGATTAGTGGTAAGTATTTGAGAAGTAAAAAAGTAATCACAGCGGTTCATACGGTCAAAATTGGTCAATATTGCGGCTTTGACTGGTCAAGATTTGCGGTTGTGACTGGTCAAGCAAAAAATTGAGGGGCAATATCTTAACTTTTACAAATAAGCAGCAAACAAATGTATATGTGAACCATAAGTGCATATGTGAACCCAAAATTCACATGTGAATCAGTTAATAGTTCATATGTGAATTACACGGGTTCACATATGAACATATTGGTCGGCTCGCATAACGGGTTGAATATCCAGGTTAATAAAAAAAACATATAGTTCATATGTAAATCACACCGTGTCACATATACACTTGTTTTCCGTCTATTTGTAAAAGTTAGAAACTACTCCTCTATCTTCTGCATATCATGCGAGGAATTATCCGGTACATCACAGTCAAAATCGCAAATCTTGACCAGATGAAGGACTAGAATCACGTATCTACTTCTCAAATACTTACCATTTCTCAAATGAACCTATGACTATGTTTTCTATATATAACCTAATCAGGTTATGATATTAAAAATTGTACCTCCCGAGCTACCGACCATTAGACATATTCCGTACTAAATTGATCTAATTTTGGGGGCTAGTTTTCCGTATCCGCCCATTACCAAATGAGTCCAAAGGAGCACAAAATTCTAAGAGAACAAGTTGAAAACCTGTTGAAAAAAAGGCTTCATTCGAGAAAGTTTGAGCCCGTGTGCTGTCCCGGTCCTTCTAGTGCCGAAAAAGAGTAATCAATATTGTATGTGTATTGATAGTAGAACCATCAATAAGATCACCATCAAATATCGGTTCTCATTCCATGAGTATAAGACATGATCGATTAATTATTCGATTCCACAATATTCTCAAAATTCGATCTTTAGAGTGACTATCATCAGATCTATATTCGACTGGACGATGAGTGGAAGACCACATTCAAAACTGTTAGGACCAAAAATGTCCTAAATAATCTGAAAGTTTTATTAAAGCAATTTGGGCTTAAGATGGATGATTCAGAGATCTGCACTGCTAAATCGACTAAGTCTAGAAGAGCGACCAGAGCTCCTCTGGACACTAAGTCCTTAGGACTAGAGCCCCTCTGGATGAACTATGTTGTGGATGCTAAGTGTCAATACAATTAGAGCCCCTCTGGTTGAACTATGCTCTGAAAGACTATCTTCAGATCTTTGGAATAAAAAACTTCAGTGCTCTAAGTGTCAAATATGAAGACGAAGTCTAAAGATGATAAGTTGCCTGGAACCAAGATCTCTGACACATAGCTCAGATACCGAGCTTGGACACAGAGCTCCGATACAGAGGGCAAGAAGACCGAAGTTTTGCACACAAATAGCTAAGTGCTTGGATATAGAGCTCCACTCCCAAACACATATCCTAGGGGTGAGCACGGGTTGGATCGGGTTGGATCGAACCATAAAGCAATGAAAACGATCAGGTATCGAATTATAATATCATGCCCCGTAATATGCAGTTCGGGTTCGGGCCCATGAAATACCTTTGTTTCTCACATTATCATAGATTTTTCTCTCTATTGTTTTCACCAAAGATAAGGAGTGTGCGTGAGTATTTACCGTGTATAAATATTTCATACTTTAAAAAAGAAGACATTTGTGGGTTTAATGCTTAAAAATGTAGATTTGCTCATGAAAACCTTATGCCGAGGCTTGATCAAGTGGTTTGAACTTAGTTAAGATTACTCCAATATTTTGAGTTAAAAACAACATTTGTATATTTTTATAATGAATGGAGTGTATCAATGGGCATGTGATAAAAGTTTCACCCCTCAGGAACTCTGGAAGTTCACTGCCCAGTGCCCACAGTCCACAGATAAGAAAATATGCATATGAGTTGAAGTTAAATGGTTAAAGGTGGAACTAGTTCAAATTGTCATTATCTAGCAAATTGATGTCCAAAAAATAGCTACAAATCCAGGAGCTCTGCAAATTGGTGCATCAACCATTTCCTGGAGCTGGTACTTGGTGCCTAAAAATTAGCTAAGGATCCCTGACCCATCACCAATCTTTATAGTTGTTGCATGGTAATAGTAATAGTTTTCTTAAGAAATGGAAGACAAAGATTGACATACCCCATGACAATTCAAAGGTATCTAGTACTAGTAGTAAAAGTTGAACAATTCGGATTTCGGACGGGTTCGGGTTTTGGATCATGAGATCCTACCCGATCCTACTAACTCGATATAATTTTCGGATTTCGGACCTCAGGTTGGTTCGGTTCATAGATCCCGGTTTGGTTCGGGGGTTTTCGGTCGGGTTTTTCGAGTAATTCGGGTTAGGTCGGGTTTTGCACAGCCCTAACAGATCCTCTGCATAGTTCATGCAGAGCCTCTGGGTCACCTACTTTGGCCATTTGTGTTAAGGTTCCACGGCTCATCTTACAAACGTTCCAATCTCTGTCCGACATATATATTCAGAAACGATTTTTGCAATCAGACACGTGGAGGTAGCAGATTGGTGGATGCGTTGATTTTGCAAAGATGCCATTTCTAGAAGATTCCTTTTTTGGAAACGCCTATAAAAGGATATTTTTTTCTAAGGCAATCAAATCGAAAATCACAGAATTAATTCACATGAGAGTCGATTAGGTCATTGAGAGAGTTTTTTTAATTTTCCTTTCCATTCAATAAAGAAAGTGGTCGGTTTCTATACATCATCTTTTACAATCTCCAGTTTTCAATGCCTTAACCTTGTTCTGCTGTCAGATCTGGGTCCAACAAAAACACTATTAAGACTCTACAAGTGGTTAGTCATGTCATTTGGTACTTCAAATGTACCAAGCACGTTGACGAGGATAACGAATCAG